TTAGTTTGTTAATGACTTACAACTTTATAAATTAAAGCATCTATTATCTAATTCATTTATTATTCAGCATGCTGAGCGGGTCTGCTTTAGTGAGGCTTCACCTCCTCAACCGCTACATCTACAGAAAAAATAAACCGCTTCCCCGTCATACATCTCTGCTTTCCATTTCGAATCACTTTACAAACAATGCACAACAAAAAGTTTTCTCTAAGAGTTATCACTTTATAGACGGACTTATTCGTTTTTCGAACATTAGAGCCGATATACTTTTGTCACCTGATTCTGTCATTGCCAAGCCGTCGATCAACCTGTTCACATTTATTGCACCAACGGCTGACCATTGGAACATTTAGCCATCGAAGAACTTTTGCAAGGACTACCATTTCGAAACAAGTCGAATATAATTTCAAGGTAGATCACAATTAAATACCTATAGCATTATATCATGGGAATTTTCGACAGCGTGTTTTATGATGCCTTTTTACGACAAAATGGACTGCGACCTCGACACTCGCTTCACATTGTTGTATCTAATGTAATACAGGAGAAAACTACCAGCCTTTGCTGCTACTGCTTCATATTATGTCTGTCTGGTTTCAAAACTTAGGAGGGATATTCATGGTTCAGCAAAGGACGCGCTCCATTGTCGCTGGACCTTACTGGATCTGCTACGCATTGCTAGGTACTCTGCAATGACCGGTCTTCGTTTTATTCACAAAGAAGCTTATTTTTTATTAAATATAAAAATACAATAAAAGGTGCCTTATTAATACATTGCGCGATATCATGGTCCATCGAGTAATAAAGCGACATAAATGTTTTATCTCACATCTCAGGGACTTCCTCAAGGAAACTCGATTGCTTGTAACCACTGATACGGTAGTCCATTGCAGCTGATCGTGTGAAACCGGAATGTCGTGCTGACAGTGCAAGTGGACTCGACATAACTAGTTGTGACATGCACGTCTTTAACTGCAGGTGACTGTTTGATGTTTTCTGTCCATGTCGTCGAAATCTAATCTAAGGTCGCAACTGATACCAGTCTGGCGCAGAAAGGTGACACTTTCTCGATTACCTCGCGTAATCGCATAGATATAAATCTAAGTTTGTACGCTCTCCTCAACATTTAAGTTAATGGATGACTTAAGGATGAAAACCGTTGGTAATGCGGTCAAAACAAAAGATTACTCGCTTGGAGAGAACTGGGAATCAGTTTCAGGTCATACAGCCACGAAACATAGCACCTAGATGCAAAAACATGAAAGTACACAACATATCAACGCCTTCATCAAGACTTCACTGGCACACAATATACACCGGATATGATAAATGGCATAATCGAAACGTGGAATTTATTAACTCTGTTCAGACCTACAAACAGCAATAGCAAAACCCACAAAAGGAGTCATTTCTGTTCATAGCGACTGCCTCCACACAACATTAAAGGCAATAAGTTAAAATAATGAATAATCGTAGTCGCAGTTGCTAATCGTGAATATTAATTATACCTTCGTCGTCTGCTCTTCGACCTTGACCTTGGTTGCGATTGAGAAGACACAGTAGCCGAGAATATATTTACGGGCGGTGTAGCATATTGATTCCCCGGTGTCGCTGAAATATTAAAAATTCATAAAAGCATAATTAATACATAAAACGCCTTCAAAAAAACTTCACCTGAAATTAAGTACGAAATCATTCAAAGGCTTATATAACATAATTAAAGCGGTGGAATATTTTGCAAACATTAAACGATCGTTTGCGATTTAATGGTTTCAGGCGAAAGACAAAGGTTAATGCTACGAAACCCTCATCACACAGTTTTAAATGTTTCTAAAGCACAACAGCGATTTTCGAGACAGAAAACAAAATAATAACGTATGCTGCAGTATATTTTGCTTCAACAAGCGGATACAGTAAATCTCACCTTCAGTGATGTTAAAATAAGTTATGAAACTATCGCGCAGCTTGTTCTCTTAGCTGAGATGTACCGTGAAAAGGCTTCTACCCGTAGTAGAACAAACATTTTCTCCCGAAAGGAGATCTGCTTCAACCCTTATAAATATCGTGCGTAAAATAATTTTTTCAATAAACAGACATGCTCCTTGTTTACGCAAGTTCTAATATTCGTACTACAACAAAGGAACAGCTGTACAATATAAAGGCTTAAATTAACACTTCAGTAGTAAGCTTTACAGATTAAACAAGCAGCCTTTAATAAGTAACTATCACAAAAAGGAAATAGTAATTTTATTTTTATAACTGTAGAATATACAACACATAGTACTCAAACTTGCATGTGAAAAATACTGGATGATTTTTCTGGGAATCAGAAATTTTAATATTGAAGCTAATGAGAATATCATTCTGATTTAAAAATTTGAAGCTTACATTCGCAAATCAAGAGACAGGTACATTTTTCTACAGAAAACTGCCTGCCAACAATCTACCTAGAAGAAATAAACATTTTCTTAAGGGTATGCTCTCCCTTCTCAATTACAGAATGTGAGGCAGAACATTTTTAGAACGATTCACGACGATCTTCCATGAATTCTTGCACTGATCGTTTCATAGCGCCAGGCAACTTCTGTTAATTTCAAAGCTGAGTACCCACTGACTAATGCTTACGACAAGCAGTCAGAGAACCCTATGAAACGAACTCAGACACTGGTGCCTGGTTTGGTTTTTAAAACTTTTGCTACGTGGAAACCTGCTGGCACAGGTACGTTTGAGGATAATACAAAACATCTCATTGAAGCACAAGTGCTAGCGACGAGGAATATAACCTTTGCCACGGCAGAGAAGTTTGCTTAATATCAATGTGAGATACCGTTTCTAACAGTCAGGTATCATAAACCAGGACCCGGCTATTTGCGCTCTTGCATTTGATGACGATGACATAATTCATTCGCTGGCAGTTTGATAAATAAAGCTTCAAAACCATCATCTTACTTATCGAACTCTGCTGGTGGTGACCAAAAATAAAAGGTGCAGAGCTATTCGCGGCAGTCGAGGTAAGGTTGGTCGAGAAGGTAGCAGGCATGGGAGCAAACGAAAAGGCGACACTGGGAGAAGTCGTCACTGGCGCAAAAGTGGCGAAGCTTGGAGCAGTTGAAAGAGAAGACATAACGCTCTGCGAACCGACGACGGATATGGTCGAGGAGGGGGTCAAAGAAACCACCGCAGGTGCCACAGACGGAGTCATTAGCTCCCATTGTCGGGATTGTTCTGCTGTGGTCGTTGGTGGCAGTTCCATTTTTGGCTTGAACAGCAACTTTTCCACCCGGTTTTGAAAGTACTGCTGCGCTCTTTTGGCGCGTTCTTCACTGTAATGTATCACAGGTACGGCCTGAAAGTAAGAAAACATATCAAAACCAAAAACTAGGACACTGCTACTACGTCATTTATGCAAAATACAACGAATCATTTATGAAAAATAAAGCATAAAATGACTAAAGATATCAGCAGAAGGTTGAATAGTTTGGTTATTCGCAGGTTGAAAACGCAGTGACACCCATACTCAGTTTTTCTGTCATATGACAACATTAAATGCAGATGAAAAGCAAAACTGAAAGATTTAATCAGTTAACCTCTGATCTTCAAAACTGATCAACATAGAGGGCGTCCGGAGCAGCCAGTACACTCAACACCATATGCAGTGAAACAGAAACAAGGGTTACGAGTTCTCTTGATATTACATCAAATATGTGGTAAGTCTAGACGAATTTCAGCCCTGTGTGGGGCTTGCATCCAACAACATGGCTACAGCTTTCGGCCATAACAATACCAATGCACCATGCCTTGTCGTTTCTCAGCCGAATGCGCTTAAGCAAAGTGGGATGAATTCCTTTCACAAGGAAAGACGAGGTTAAGACAAAAATCGTCCTTTACCCGGATTCTAACTCTGCACTTCCGGAACCACAGCGCCCCAACTACCGAAGGCGTGACTTATTATTGCATGTATGTACCTTAGTGATGTCACTTGTTATTCTGAAGAAACGAGTACGGGAAGAGTAGATCGTTAGTATTAGATTTTTATTGCAAATGAGCTCCAACCTCGAAGCAACAAGCTGAGGATTTGTTCAGTTCCTACGCCGGAATCAAGAACAGTTCTGAAGCAAGAAATATGATGATGGTGAACGTTCATGACCATGGTGAAAACGATTACAAGGAATATTATGGAGATGATTATGAGGAGAAAGAGAAGGATAACCACGATTATGAAAGCTCGATGGTGACGATGATATAATAATTGTATCATGATAATGAGCAATATGATAACGATGATAATCAAGGTAACAATAATAATGATGATCCTGACGACAACAGTAACTCGCCTTCAATGATCATGATGATAATCACAAACAACAGGTCTGATGATATATACGATTACCACAAAGATGGCGATGCCAGTGCTGATGAAAATGATAATTATGATGAGGCACACTATAAAGAACATAACACTCATTATGATAGTCAATATGATGACAACGATTGGTAATGCTGATAAGAATGATGATACCGAAACTAAGCAAAGTGATTCATACTGACTTTTCTTCACATAAAATACATATTACTTAAATAACATTTTCGTAC